AAAGATGTGAGACAAAAGGGAGGGAGGGAGGGAGAGAGAGAGAGATGTAATGTCGTAAACAACACTAGCCATAGGTACACATATGGTTGTAAAAACGTAGTGAGCAGTTGGCAAAGCATACCGAAGTGATGTCTGTCAAGAACGAGTCTTGGTGACATTCTACTATTACGTATACAAATCAAACATAGTTGGAGAGTGACCCTGTAAGAGACGTAGTCACTGCCCACTAACAATGGGTTCCAAACTGTGTCGATGGTAACGTAAAAAGTAACAAAACGTTTGCTGTTAGAAGCTGCTCCAACTATTCCGTTATTGATTTTTCGCCAAGTCCATTTTGGTTTCCGTGTGCTTTTGACTTACACCTATGTGAAAACATAATATTGGAAAGAGGGGGGGGGGGGGGTCGCCACTGGTAGATTCTACTTATTTTCTTTCCTTCTGCTGTTTCTGTCTGTCCCGTTTGCTTTTTTTCCTTGCACTAAATGGCCGTTTTTGTGTCGAATTATTGTTTTTCTTAACTCAAACCCAAAACTCAAATTAGAAAAAACAACAACTATAACAACACACATAGAGAGTCCGTGTTTGGAGGGCGACGCTGATGGGTCCTGTATATTTTCATTTCATTTTTGTTCCTTTTTTTAACCTGACTTTTGGACGCCTGAAATATAATATTGCTAAATATTTATTTATATAGCCTATGAGGACCTTTATGAATGCCGTCGTTGTGAAGCCAAGACACTCCATGCTTAATAATTTGTGCGTTTTGTTGTTTTGTTTTTCTAACGGCGTCCGTGGGATCATGAAGAAGCTTTTTGTAGTCGCTCGCAGAAGACGTGAGTTCCATTCCCGAGCGGGGAAGTGTTTTATCGAGTATCTCCGTCTGTCTGCTGGGTTGGTGAATTCTGCACTGGCTCTCCTTGGCACAGTCGCAGCAGCCTGCCCCTTTTAACCCTTTTACTACCTGGCACCGCGACTGTCTCGGGCTTTATGGTTGGATTATAAACACACGTTCGTTCCCCCCCTCCCAAAGCGGCGTCTGTGAGTGGGTGGTTGGCGGGTGCTCTGATGTGGTTTGCTCCTTCTTTCCTATGAGACATGTATGGTCCTTATCTCTTCTTCTTCCCTCCTTGTTTTCTTTTTATGTTACCCTCTAGTAAACTTGATACCTGTAGTATTCGACACTCATGTGACCTATTTGTGTTGCAAGTGCTGTGAAATCCTCAGTAAAGCTAAAACAAAAACCCTTGCACACTCAATGTGTGAGTGGGTGATGGGCGGGTTCTCTGGTGTGGTTTGCTCCTTCTTTCCTATCAGACATCTATTGTCTTCATCTCCCCTCTTTCTTTTTTGTGTTTGTTACTCTCTTGTAACTACTCTATTCTTCGGCACTTAAATGACCTTATTGTGTTGCAAGTGCCGTAAAACTCGTACTAAAGCTTTTAAAAAACTAAACACAATTTGTGAACTGGATTTTCGAGTGCGAATGTGTTTATCGAGTATCCCCACCTGTCTGCTGGGATGTTGTATTCCTCCTAGCATGAGCTGGTCTTGCTTGACAGGCAAGAGCGAAGCAGCCCGCCTCCTTAATTCAATTGAGTCGAATTGAGGCGTTTACATATTTACATTCATTTGAATCTGGGTCATAAAATCGCACCAAATTCATTCTGTTACTGCCGCTCTTAGCGACCTTTACGCTCGCAAGGCCGTGGTGAAGTCCGGACTCCTGACCTGTCAAAACGCCAAAGCGTCGGTTGAGATCCCGATCGAGGCCCGAAGCGTTCCCAGATAGCCTGTTTTTTAAAAAATGTAGGTGTTTTTTTACGCACCCATCGATACAAATTAAATCATTTTGGAGACGGGCTTCCGACCCTGCCAGTAAGGGCCGACCCAGGCTAAGAGGGATTCGACATCCCAGCAGAAATATCGAGATACTTACTTTTTCATCATCTCTTACCGTTAAGTGTCGAGTGTGGGTGGTTGGCGGGTGCTCTGTGTGGTTTGCTTCTTCTTTCTCATCAAACATCTATTGTCCTGATCTCCCCTTCTTTTTTATGTTTGTTACTCTCTTGTAACACCTCTATTCTTTTGGCGCTCATATAACCCTATGTAGTTGTGAGTGCCGTAAAAACCTCTACTAAAACTGAAACTAAGTGTCTAGTGGAGATGCATTTTTCTGTGGTAGACTAGCTCCGAGATACTCGATTACAACCAACAACAAAAAAAGTGTCGAGACCTCAAAACGTTCCGAGATGCCAAAGCAGGTGGAGAGCCCCAGACCTACCGATAGGTGGGTGCACACATGTTCATTTATCTCCCGGCGTGCGTGGCCGCCCCAGCGGGGTTCAGCTGGGCTCAGATGTCGTGACAGGAAACTGGACATCGGAAAAATAAATGGTTTATGTCTGACTCTGAGCTCTGGATGGTCATCGCCACGTCGTGCTTCTTGTCAGTTTCGCCGCCTATGAGAGATCTATGACAGCCCCTTCTTTCTCCGCCCATACACTATTGTTTTTTATACTCACTGAAACAGATTTATTCCCTGTCCCATTAACCCCCGGCCCATAGATGTCAGTTTCCGTATTTGGCGCCCGCTACTGCTATTTTTACTTTATTGCCAAGCGTATTCTCTCTCTCTCTCTCTCTCTCTCTCTCTCTCTCTCTCTCTCT